TTTTTTTTTTTTACATTCCTTTCATGTGTTTCATCCAATGCTATTGTCACTGTTTCTGAACGCTTCTTCTTTGGTGGTTAAATCTGCATTGTTTGCATGTGATGTGATGCAGATGTGAGACTAGACGACTGAACATCTGCTGAAGTCTCATATTTTGACTCGACAGAGGACGACACCACTGTACCTGCTGCTGTTTGTGAGGATTAAAACTTGTAAATATATTCTGGTAGACCCCAAAAACTAAATGATAAATCCATTAAAGGTGCATTGTATGGGCTGTTCAGTGTGGTCATACTCCTGCTGTCAGGATCTCTGCTGGGACATCGAAATGTGACACACAAACATCGGCGCCCAGCCGCTGCATTGCCCACATGACTCATACCTCTTTCACAACCAGAGCAGGAACCTGAACCGAGTGCAGCAGCTCCAAAAGCCCCTCGGAGCCCAAAATGGACACGTGTTGTAAAGCATCACTCATCATTTTTCTTTACCCTAAAAGTAGAGCATTAGTCACCCTTTTACTGGTTTTTGACGGGGGCCAGAATGGAGTCTATTTACCAGCATGACGATACATTGGTGAGTTATGTTGTCAGCAGCGAGAGAGTTTTATCTAAAAGCAGCTCGATGACAGCGAAGGATTACTGAAACAAGCTGCTGCTGAGGAAATCCTGAGCCCAGCCTGATGGAGGCGGTGGAGTAGAGTGTGTGGTGTTAATCGAGGGATCATAATCACATTCATAAACACTCGGTCTGGAGGTTGCGTCCCGCCAGTAAAACCAGCTCAGCTTTTGAAGTCGCATTCCTATGCATCAGGTGCAACCCTCATTTCCCAACATGGGGCTGGCATGTATGAAGCAAAGCTCATGTTCTGCTGCTGGTTCTCTTTTCTTGCTCTGTGTGGCCTGTGACTCAGACACTATAGCGTTAGTGTGTAACCAGAGAGAAGGTCAGACAGAGGAGGTGAGCTCCTGAAGGTGATGCAAAGCCCTCAAACCTTTGACCCTTTAGCTCAGCGCTCAGCTATGGCAGCGACGTCTCTCTGGTTACTGAGGTTAATGCTGGTTCATTGGACGGCAAACAAACACCTCCTGAGGATCCTCACTGATACTGGAGGGATGGACTCGTCTGTTTGTTTGCAGCTACTGAGGATGTTCATCATTTTAAATTACACACCGCTGATTACTAAAACTGTCTGTTACTGTCCCAGACTGACCAGTAAAGACTTTCTCATGTGGAACTTTCCATGTGATCATATCTTTTTGATTTAGGATGATTGCTAATAAAATTATGTGATTGGTAGCATGTTCCAACTAGCATTTCCGCTGTATTTAACCCTTAAGCGTCAACTTACAAAAGTTACACAGAGGTCCTGAATGAAATGCCCACATCAAAAACAGTGCTAAAAAAATGTCTGGTGTTAGTATTATTTTTCAGTTTCAGAAGTGTCTTTATTTTAATCTACATCAGTGCTGATCATAATTACCAAATATTCATTCATTTTCAGGATTTTAACCCTTTAGATGCCAGTTTGTTTACATGATGCCACAGTTGTTGCTTTTACAGTAAAAAATAATGTATTTTCCATTTTGTAAGTACTAAGTGCCCCCACCTGAGTATATGTTGAATGTCTAATTTTGAAGATGCAATGTGCAAGATTTTGACCATTATTGACAATTGTTATGTCAAGATATAGTGGAGTAATAGTTTCCTGTCAATGAAATCTCACCTTTTCTCTCTGCATATTCTAATCTGAGCATCTCCGTTCTCTGTTTTAGTAGTAATCCAGCCACACGTTAGTCCATGTTAGTCCATGTTAGTCCATGTGAGTCCCTCTCTTTGAAATTGTTGTCCCTCCTGGTGTTTATAGACACACCGGCTGAAATCCCACAAGGCGTTTCAAAAAATTTTAAAAATACATACTTTTTTCACGATGTTTACCTAAATTATGTGCACTTGTTTCATTTTAGCTCAGTGTGAGAATCTCTGCTGCTGTTTTGAGACTCTCCTTTGTTTTTCCAGTCGTGCGCGTTGTGCTCCAGTCTTTGTGTGTCTGTTTCCACAAATGAGTTGCTTCCATTGGAGTTGAAATCAAATCAGTCAGCGTATTTTACAGTGTTAGCATGAGCTCATGGTTGTGTCTGTATAAACTGCCTGTTTGTTTTTGTCTGTTTTTGTCACTGCACTAATGACGTCCAGTGATTCTGAGTCTTGCAGACATGACACGATTCAGACATGATTGTTTTAGGATTGTATCCAAGATTCTTCTTTCTATGCATAGAACGAGTGTCTTGGCTCAAACGTGTCATGTTTAATGGAACTCTGGGACTTGTTTTGTTAAGATTATTTCACCATTACCACTAATACCGCCAGATGAGGGTTTTTCCAGCTCTCAATGGGTCATTTGGGAGTGACTAACCATGATAGTAAGCATGATCAGTCTATGTACAGTAAAAGCTGCCAAAAAATGTATCTATGCAGGAAAAACCCTGCAGACGGTGCCAAGGATTACATTGTTTAAGGATTATATTGTTAAGACGTGAAAAATAAACTTGTTTGTGCTTTCTGGTTGACAGATGATGTCAGTGATCCCATACTTATTGTATATCTTTTCCTATCGTACTTTCTTGGTCCTGGATTGGTCATGGATTGTTCTTTGTTTCTTTTTGTTCCGTTTGAAATAGATCTTAAATTGATCTTGACTGTACAAAAGTCAACAGTCCAGCCTGCTGTAGGATGTATTTTGTACCAAAATGTACCAAAAACATCCTACAATTTTGTCACTATTTTTTTCCTAGTTTGATTAAAGATGACAGCATTTGTTAGGAAAGTGTTGGTTTAAATGTCTAGACTTGCTGATAAAATGTATTTGAACTAAAACTGAGATGTGCATCTGGTGTGGAGGCAAAGATAGGAAAGAACAGTTCAGAGAAAAATTTTGTTCTTCATTTTAGTGTAAATCTCTTTGAGCAATAAGACATTATGTGTTCAGTTTGCAAGTCCTGATATCTGCAGTTGCTTCACACTTTGAGCTCCCACGATCAGCATTATCTCGTCTTTATAATCTGACCTGGTGTCCATCAGACTGACCCTCCTAATCTGACCTAAATATAGACCGCTGTGTGCTGATACAGCAGCTTCATGTAGGTGTGAGAACACAGTCTGAGCTCCTCAGTTTTGAGGCGTGGACGGCGGGTCAGTACATGGAGAGGAGGGGTCCCACTTCGCTGCTCTGTCCTGATAAGGCTCGGTTTAACGTCTCGGACCACAACAAACCAATGAAGAATCAAAAACAGCAGAGATAACAACTTACACGGGCGTCCACAGTTTACAAGAAAACCTCGTCCCCCCGCAGATACCATTGAGATTCCTGCACTGTGTAAGAATGCAGCTGAACCACAGGGGATGCACTTAGTCTCCCACTGAACTCCCTCCTTTTCCCTCTCGCGCCTCCATGCGAGCCAGACTCTGGCCGGTCGCCCGGCATCGCTGTCAGAGCCAGCATGCTGATTTTGGCTCAGATGGTACCATTGAGATGAACCTAAAAAACCAAAGCTTTAACCTCTCCATGGCTCTCCTGCAGAGAAAGACAGAGTCCATTCTGTCCGTCCTGCCCAGACCTCAGACCTCAGAGATAGAAACTCCTTTAATTCTGTTGCTGCTTTGACTGTGTGGTAACTAGAAGGTGTTTCTGACGACTCTCACATACTAATTTAACACATCAGGAGATCAACACAAAGAAATGGGAAAGAAAAAGGTTCAATCTCATCTATGTCTATTGGCAAAGTGTGATTACATTCATGAGCTTTTGTGTTTGCTTTAAAAGCTTTCCCAGGGAGTTGTGCATTGATGCAGCAACACTTTCTTCTAGCCTTCTCATATGGATCCTGTTGCTATTAAATTTAATAATCTCAGAGGAAAGACTGCTAAACAACTGGAAGCAACAAACTAAATGTTTCGTTTTTATGGATTATGGTCTAATTACTGCAGCCTTCTGATTAAACTACACTCCCCAAATAGTTCATTGTTATTTAGCAACTGTTTAGCTAAACACTATATATATGGAGTTGTATTGTTTTTTTTAATAAATACAAAGATGCTGAGAGCTTAACAGACTCTAAAGGCCCTTTCAGACAGCAGATATGTAACAATGCTGCTTCATCAGTCTGTTAAAGTGACGGCATTCTGTCATTCAGGTCACTTTTGCTATGTAGCTAATGATTTACTTGCAGCTGATAAACTGTGACTCTGTGTGGAAAAGTCTGACCTGCTGTTAGATCCTGATCCCTCCTGTCTCCATGTCAGTGATAATTTACATTTATAGGTAATTGAGGGGGAGTTTTTGGTTTCTTCCCACCGTTGCCAACCGCTTGCTCAGAGGGAGTCCAAAGGCTACTTTGGATTGTTGGGTTCTCTGTTTAAATTGTAAGGTCTCTACCTCACTATGTTAAGCGCTGTGTGATGAGATATGTTGTACACTGCGATATGCAAATCAAATTGAATGTAACTGAAATTGAACTGAAAAAACTCAGAGGAAAGACTCCTAAAACAACTGGAAGCAACAAACTAAACTTCGGCAGTAAAGTTTTATTTTTATCGACACGATTAAAACTAAGGAATGTTTGTCATTGTATATGTATACACAAAAATATCAGTGCCAAAGTCTACCCACAGAACAATGCAACAGCCCAACTACCATAATGTTATTTTATAGTATTTTTATATTTTATAGTATCTGAATACTCAGTGAACGTAGTTTAACTGTACAAGCTGTAGTACTGAGTGCACATTCAGTATATAGGAACATCTGACTAGCAGCTTTTTTAGGTTTTTGTTTACAGTCAAATTAAAATATGTTTTGTTTTTTGTTTTTTTTCAATTTTGGAAAATTGTCTTGCAATTCCAAATTTGTAACCCAGTGGACAATTTGTCATTTAAGGTAAAGAGTAAATGAGTTTGAACTTCATTAATGTCTCTGACTTTTCTTGTTCCTCTCCTCTCAGATCACCATCCAGAGGGACAGCGGCCTGGACGTATCCGCCCCAAAACATGGAAAGATCGACGCTATGAACGCTCCTCACGTCGGGGGAAACCAGTGGGCAGGAGGCACAGGTAGCTGGTGATTCTTACTGTATCGACAACATGCGCTTATTCCATCTGCACAGACGTTACTGTGACTGATGGCATGTGAGGAAGTTGTGTGTTGGAGAACAGTTCTGTGCTCCTTCTTTTAGCAACTGTATTGTTGTCCTTCAGTCAGCTTGACATTAACTGACATGTAATTTGGTAATGAATTGAATGTTTACGTCATTTATTATAAGCAAAAATATTTCAGCATTTATTGTGTGTCACTGTGTTATAGTAAAATGAATGAATTGTGTTTATATGGGCATCACTATGCTGGTTCTGATTATATTCAGTCTACAGTGTTTACATGGAGCACAGAAATGTACATATACATTATAAATACTAACATCCTGGACACTGATTACTCTGTGCTGTTTGCGCAAATGTTCAAAGCATAACCAGGCAATATGGAATAGAATAGAACAGAATTTCTTGATTGTCATTGCACAGGGTACAACAAAATTAAGCAGCAACTCTGTCAGTGCATTCACAAAATCTGACAGTATTTTAGAAGACCAATAAGAAATGTAAAAATAGAAAAATAGGACATCTACTAGAAAAAACAGTAAAAAATAGTATGTGCAAGTGTAACCAATGAAAACAGTGGGAGGCTTATTCTTTTAATGAGAGCTTCTTTGGTATATTAGGATTTATAAAGGTGAAAATGGCCATCATGTTGTACCAACTGTGCCATTTTAAGGAATATTGCTTGGCTTAGAATAGACAAGATGTTATTTGTTGTCATTGCAGCAATCCTGTCAGTATACTCACAAAATCAGCCAACATTTTTGAAGGACAGAAGGAGATGTGCAAACATACATATACAGAAAGCCGCCCACATAGTTTCTGTTGTGTCTGTTATGTAGTCTAGGTAGAATACTTGAGTTTCTCAAAATCAAGATAAGGGGTTTGAAAAATAGGATACTTCCAAATCTCATAATGACCAGAATAATCAAGTCCATGTAAACAAAGTCATTTATTGCAGACATGGTTATGAGAAAGTTTTGACAAAATGAATCTTTTCTGTTCCTGAATGGTGATTTAGAGTGACTCTATGATGTTTATTTTGTGTACAGGCGGCAGAGACACTGCAGGTCTGGGTGGTAAAGGAGGCCCCTATCGTCTGGATGCAGGACACAAAGTCTACCAGGTTTCTCAGGCTGAGAAAGATGCTGTTCCAGAGGAGGTGCGCAGAGCCGCCCGTGAAATGGCAGAAAAGGCCTTCAAAGAAAGGTGGGATGCATGAAACACAAGCTAAGAAATGCCTGCGTGGTGTAGTAAAGTGATCTTTCACTAATAACCCAGGGTGGGAAACCTCGTGAAGCTGTGCAGATGTTTTGGACCGATTGTTGAAGTGTGTAATGTGGAACAGGTGTGTTTGGAGGGTTTACCGGTCAGCCAGCCGTCCCAGGTACGGAGCTCCATCCTGGGCAAACAGCGCTGCCTCGGCTGGATGGTCGATCCCACTGAGCAGCATGTGTGCGTTCATACATTCAGTTCAGAGCGCAGGGTTGAGAGGGCATCCCTTTCAGCAGCTCCACCATGAAGGCTGGCTCTGTTTGCTTCAAACAGGCTTGTTCTCTTTACTTTCTTCCTCCCCCCTTTTCCTGCAGGGCTCTTCTCATACACTGGCTGCTTTCACACCAAGAAAACAACCTCTCCGACTCTCTTCATCTCCTCTTTTTTATCTCCTCTGTTTTCACCCATTTCACAACCCTCCAAACTCCTTCCCCTCCTCGTCCTCGGCCTGTCGATCAGGAGCCTACACAATATCTTGTAGCTACATGCAGTAAATGCCACTCTGCTTGAGCATTCTTTAAGGCAACAGAAATAAAGGGCTGCTTTTTTTTCATATCTCTGACCCTGTCAGGATTTTTCCATACCGATCCATTCACTCGTGAGAGCTCACAATCCTTTGTTTGCTTAACTCGAGGTAAAGCATCAATCAAACTATGATCCTTCCAGAAATCCTCGAGTTTGTGACACACACACACAAACACACACACACACACACACACACACACACACACACATGCAATAACAGGCTTAGGTATGTCTAAAATATGAAATGTGTTCTCTGGATGTGTTTTTGGCTGTTTCTATACCTGATTATCTTCTCT